GTTATAAAGATTTGAAGTCTTCAAGTTTGATATGTGATTTTTTACTTATCATATGGTTGGTCCATTCACTATTGTGGTTCTAAAGTCAAGGTGTGTGTTGAGGATGAAAAAATGGTACATGTACACCATCTTTTTTGGTGCTTATACATCGTAATCGTCATCACATAAAACTAAGTTTTTGACGTCAAAACTAAGACAATAATAATTTTTCTGTCTATGATGAATCTAATTTAAATTTTAGTTGTTCGATCTTTGGCCAACCATAATTAGCTATTGCTTACAACAATCGGTAAGCGTATAATATAACGAATATAAAAGTACGTCTTGTTCATTAACATCTTTGAAATATTCCGCCCTACTGCTTAAATACCTTGCATTGTATGATTCCTCAAGATTTAAGAATATTATATTTCATTCAACAATTAATAAAATACTCTTATTTTATTTTGTATCGTGTAACTGTATTATAAATTTAGTTATATCACTTCTTTTATTGTGATTACACATCTAATTATTTAAAAAAATCTGGAAAATAAGTGTTACAGGCTAAATTGAAAAGATTACTTTTGCATACATCTACGATAATGCTCAATATTAAGAATACAATACTTGTGCGATGCAACTAACAATTCTTATACAAATTGAACTTCAATATCGAATCATTGTTTTGCAATCGAAAAATATAAAATATATGAACTTCTTTAGTTGCAAGAAACAATATCAGTGAAAAAAATGCTAGTGTAATCATCGTCTTATATTATAAGTTATTATGAAATTACGTTTCACCTTAATTTGAATACATATTTTCTAATAAAACAAATTTCATCATTGTGCAACACGCGATGTGTGAAGTAAGAACCAATGGGTTGTTCAATGCGAAGTTTCTATCATATTTATCTTTAGTATTCTTATTTATTTATTTTTAATACACAATCAACACATTAATTGCTAAACCTTTCATTTTCTTACCTTTTTAGCTTTTTCTTTTTGTAAATGAAATTGAATCCACAAATACATAAAACTACATATATTAAAATTTCTCAATCAATCAATATATAATTAAAAATATATTAAAGCTAGAACCAAGAGGTGCTTCAATGAGAAGTTTCAATCATATTTTTTTCTTTATAAATGAAATTAAAACACACATATATTTATTTTTATTTACATCAATGTATATAAATTTCTATGTACATGACAATTGAAAAAATAAATCATTAAAAATTAATATATATATATATATATATAGACTTGGGATCATGTGAGACCAGCCTGTTTTCGTGAGACCAACATTTTACACTTGAAACTTCACAGCAAAATGCTGTGAAGGTGACTTTTTATAACCTTCACAGTGTTTTTGCTGTGAAGGTTCGACTTTTTTTAAACCTTCACAGTGTTTTTGCTGTGAAGGTTACGTGTAAAAATGCGGTCTCACGGGTCTCACGAAAACAGGCTGGTCTCACGTGAACCCAACCCTATATATATATTAAAATAAGACAAATAGGTGGTTCAATAAAAAAATCAATCATATTTATCTTTTTTTTAATGAAATTATAATCCACAAATATATAATACATATATTTTTATTTACATCATATATATATAGAGGAAAGTTCAAACAAGAACACTAACTATTTAAAAAAACAAGAAAAATATCATTAATGTACAAATTGACATGTGATTTTACATTAAATAGAAGCGAGCAACTTTTGAGGCCACTTAAATCGCAGAGTAAAGTCGCCCGGATCATGTATGATTTGTTACATGAATCATATATGATTTTGTATATTTTTAATAATGCAATTATATGATGAAATTAATTGAAGTAGTTTAAAGGTCTTCACTAATTTCTTAAGGTGCAACATGTGTTGGCTCTCTCCATTTTGCATATAAAAGAAAACCATGATTGTTGACAACAATTGCAACCGTCGATGTTCATAATTCTTAACATACATGATGTTTAAGCTTCTCTATCTACTAAGTAATTGTTCTGCTTTCTGAGGTTAGTTATGTATAATACAAATATCTTTTGAGTTTTCTTTAATTTACTTGTTTTATATATATGTGTTAAAACAATATATTTTAGGTTGATTTTTTTTATGATATTCTTGATAGTTTTTTTTCTTTTCTTATGCCATGATTTTTATGAGTTATCTTTTGGTTGCATAGATGTTCATTGCTCAATCCATTGTCAATCCAAACAGCCTACATATTCCTTTTTACAATAAAGCAAGAAAACGAAAAATTGAAGTTAGATTTCTGCAATGCGTTAAGATTGATTCATCATCTATTTTAAGTTTTCCAATATGGTCATTTTCTTCTTCTTTCAATTGATTTTCTTATATCAATTATAAATTGAAATATTTGAAGGAGACATATCCTTGTAAGGGGTATTTTTTCTTCTTGAGTTGTGTCGGTGCTTAATATTTTTTATTCTTGAGTTGTTTTAGATTTCTTAATATTTTCGTCGTTATTATTACTCATTTTATTTAATTTTACAACTTTATTTCTAACAAATCTCTCTCTTTCTCTCTCTCTCTCTCTCTATATATATATATAGGGTATATTTCTTTTACAACCTTGTGTATTTGTACAATCCTTGCAACCTTTTTTTCAACCAATCAATGAATAACTTTTTTTTAATTATTTTTTAAATGAAAAGGTTAATGTTGTCCATTGATAATTTTACATATTTATTATTTATTAATTAAAAATAATAATAATCCTATTTATGGTTGTAACCTTCTAATTACTATGTATATTTGAAACTGATATGGAAACATTAAGACTTCTATAGAAAAATTATAATAACCTGAATGAATTCGATGAAGCTTTGACACAATGGGTTCAACTTCACATACTCTTATGGATTCGATATCCTTCAATGAAACATTCGTCAATGATATATTTAATGAAATCGGTGCTGTCAGTGTACTGATGAAACCATCTTCATCTGAATATATTTGTAGTCAGTGTACTGATAAAACCATCTTCATCAGAATCATAACGTGCTTTTAAAGGTGAGATGTATACATGAAACTAAGTTTATAAAAATATAGTTCAGCAGAATTGTTGTCAGTGTACTGATGAAACCATTTTTCATCAGTTTCATAACCTTATTTTAAAGGTGTCATGGATACATAAAACTATGTTCATAAAAACACAGTTCAGCAGAATTGTTTTCAGTGTACTGATGAAACCATTTTCATCAGTTTCATAACCTTATTTTAAAGGTTACGATGGATACATGAAATTAAGTTCATTTAGCATGTTGTCCGTATGTCAAAGCTTATAAAGTGTGCTGATGAACTATTTTCAATGAATATCGCTATTTGTCTTCTACAGTAGAGTGATTATCGCATTCATGATTTCATAGAATCCTTTCTTAGAATAGATTAAGTTTTCCAATTCCAATTTTACCCTTGGTTACCCTCAATCTATCAGACACGTGCATATAGTTTTCCCTTTTATTACAGTTTTGCCATCCAATGCATCTTGACCATACATTAAGAATTGAAGGGATGAGATGATGGTTGGATTGGGTGTAAGAATGTGAAAGGTTGTAAAATAACCTCCCTATCTCTCTCTCTCTCTCTCTCTCTCTTTATATATATATATATATATATATATATGGTTGAGTTCACGTGAGACCAACCTGTTTTCGTGAGACTCGCGAGACTATTTTTTTACAATTGAAACTTCACAACAAAACATTGAGAAGGTAAAAAAGCCGAACTTTCACAACAAAACACTGTGAATGTTACATTCACAGTGTTTTATTGTGAAGTTTCAAGTGCAAAAAAATGGTTTCATAGGTCTCACAAAAACATGTTGGTCTCACGTGATCCCAAGTCTATGTATCTATACTATTTTATAAAGCAAATTTAGCAAAAGTCTTAAAGTCTTAAAATACTAAATGACCAAAATACCCTTTATACACTTTTTCACTTTTTCACCTTTTCACCCCATCCTCTCCTCACATGCACTCACCTCCTCACATACACTCACCCTCTCACAACCGATTTTTTTTAAATTATAATTTTAAATTTACACTTTATACCCTTATAATTAGTTAATTAATTTACTTTACGTCCTTTATTTTTAAATGTTTCATTTTAAACCTTTATCGAATTAATATACATAATCGTATATCAATTAAAACATATTTAAAAAATACATTTTTATTTTAACAAGTTACACCATTATAATCGTCTATTTAATACATTCGAAATGAGTCCAATATTGAATAATTTTTTACTTAATTATATTATTATATATTATATATATTGTGAAAAAATATTTTTAATATTTACGATTTATACTTATATATATATATATACATTATATATTTTGGGGTTAGGCTGTCCAAATTGCACTATATAATATGTTCTGAATTAATATGTTCTTGAGTTTATATATATATATATATATATACATGTATTAATTCAACCTTAATCTGAGTTTCTGGACAAAAAAGAGGGTAAACAGTTGAAATTTCATTCTAAAACTCATCTTTTTTGGTCTTTTCATGACTTATGATATGTTAAATTTGTAGTTTTCTTTATTGGTTTTGAGTGTTTATCTTAAAACTCAAGTTTCTTGGTTTTTTGCTCTTGGTGTAAATCAAACACATTTGTGGAGTCGTTTAAATATATTGGATTTTAAACTGTCATACAATTTTTTTTATCGATAGTCTGTAATTGGAACCATAACTTTTATTCATTCAAATTGTATTAATATGCAAAGACCAAGTGTAACCTATATCATCGTTAAATTTTATCTTATAAAACCAATGAAACTTCAAAATCGTTAAAATAACAATAAACTATAAATCATAAAGACGAAAATAACAATAAGTTACAAACCATAGAAATGACAATCATAGTTAAGAATGAAAATTGTAATTTTTCACAAACTTTAGGGACTAAAAACGTAATTTACTCTTTCTATTTGGATACACCTGCCACTGGTATATATTGGAGCCGAAGCCCCCACCTCACCACGTTGACCAACCAGTAGAAAGTAGCTGGGTTTATGTGCATCCTCATCCATTTCTTTATTCCTTTCCAACTTTACTTTCAGCACCCCAAGTACCCACCACCACCATCATATTCTTCATCCTTTCCAACCTGCAGATTAGGTTTAATCGGTAATGGATTCCGCCACCGTACCTAACGATGACGAACCTTCACAATCCATATCAAAATCTCCGTCGGAAACCAATAGTAATCGTCACAATCATCGAATATCTACAGGTATGGGATCTCCAAATTTCATAGGGAAGCATCGATTGGCTGCAATAATTTCTCAACAGAATCAACAAATCCAGATCATTCAGGTAATCAATTAGATTGGATTAGATGAAACTTGCTAATTTGTTCAATTCGTTGTTCAATTAAATCACACATACACTGAGTAGTAGAAGAAAGTGATTTGATGCGATTCAGGAAGAGCTGGATCAGCTGGAAACGCTTGGTGAAGCATCGCTTGTTTGTGAACAGTATGTGATTTCAACATAAATGCATTTAATTTCATTCAGTTGAATTTGATTATGTTGTTGAATTAAACACACACTGACAAGAGTGAGTGTGTGGGTGTTGGTACAATTACAGGCTGATATCAAGTGTTGAATCAAGTACAGATGCTCTGCTTCCGGTGTAAGACTTATTATCTTCTTATTAAATCCCCAATATCTCCTCTTTTGTCATTTTCATTTTCATTTTTATTTACTTTTGTTTTTTTTCTTTTGGACTTGTTATTGTTTTATTCTAAATAAATACGGTAAAAGAGAGGCTTTAAATGGTTAAAACAAGTTCTCCTATCTTTTCTAATTTAAATTGGAATGCTGTCAAAGCTTATGTGGCTAATGAACTTTGTGGCTCACCGTTTCGTTTGGTGATCATCCAAGGATTAGTCCGTAGATATAAGTTCATCCGAATATCTACAGTTACTTATTTTTTTAAAATACAATGAAATTCTTTTAACATTAAATCCTTTTTCTTAATTAGTATGATAACCTCTTAATTTTTCGTATTCTGTTGTACATATCTTATTTGATAAACTCGTTTTCAATCTAAAGAATATCTTTTGATGTGATATTTAATTAACAAATAACAATTATAATATAAATTAAAATTCATAGTTATAAGATTTAATAGATTAAATAAGAACCACAAAAACTACCATTACCATTACCATTACCATTGGGCCGGGGTGACATTTTGGACGGTGTGTGGCAGTGGCTTGTATTGTACAAGTTTTTTACGCATTATTTTAATTTTTAAAATACACAATTTAAATTTTAATTAAGTTTATACGTTCGGTTTGAATTTGATACAAAAAATTAACTTTTGTCTAATGTTATCATATTTGAGATTTAATCCAAAAACTGTTTAATTTATGCTTTCTTAATAAACTCTAATGTTTGTTTTTTTTATTTGAATACTAAACAATGGCTGAGTCGGATAAGCTATTATATATATGTAAATCATCTGACTCCATAAATGTCTTATTAGTAACTGACCTATTTTCAAATTACCTTCAACATAATGAGTTTAAGTTTAAATCCCATTCTCGTGCATCTAAGTTTCGTTTACAAACAGGACAAGAGGGCCGGCCGATGGTGGATGGGATAGATGGTTCCAAAGAGCAAATCATTCGTCCTCCCGGAATCGCAAACGTTGGATTTGATATGATCGTCCAAACCCATTTCCATTTCCATTTCCACTTTCTCTTTCTAATTTTGTAAATCCTTCTTCCAAAGTTTGGATATAATTAAATCCAGAACTATCATGCTATTCTGGATTTGACAACAATTCAAACGATGGAAAACGGATCTTGTACGTACTTGATTTTGTTTGTTTTTCACATGCAAGGGTGGTTTGTTTTTCAATTTTGTTCCCTCTTTTCTTTTCACTCATTCAACTTATTCGACAAGTCGTTTTAGCACCTTGAAATACCTCTATATAGGAATCAAGAAATCGGATCTGAAAGATAGGATGTATGCAGATTTGATCTGTCCTCGAAGAATATATATCCTGATCATGTAAAGTGTAAAGAACTACCACAAATAACATGTTTTTCATCAATAAATAAGATAAAACCAGTATTTACAGTGTTCCATTTAGGCCACCTTACTATATCATATTAACTCCAGTTAAATAAAAAAAACGATAAATCGAATTGATAAAGCCAACAGCTTTTACGCACTGCCCTTGATGACATCATCGGCATCGTATTCGGTGGTGAGACCATCACCGCCGCTACCTTTAACATCATCCAAGTAGTCTTCTCTTGCGTTATCAGCCAACATAAGGGAAACCAACCAGAAAAGAGCCGCATCAAGAGCTAGAAACGCACCACCACCAAGCAGACCCGTTTTTGCTGTTGGGCAGGTTGTTTCTAGGTTGTAATGAACATTGCTGACGAGATGTTTGTGCTCAGTGATTGTTGGCCATAACAGCATTGTGGCCGCCAGTCCAGTCGAACCCCTGTCATTCCAATACACAGGTCAAAAGATCAACAAAAACGATTACAAGCCAAAACATTTATGAAAGCGATCAATGTGTACTTACAAAGCAATCAAGAAGAATATGAAGAAACTGGTGCTCTGGAACAATGCAGGCACTGGAATCGACTTCCCTTTGTAAGGATAAAACAACGACAATCCTCCAGCCAATGTAGTGGCGGCAAGAAACCCGAAGGACAAGTACCCCAATGCGACCGTGGGATCAGCTGGATACTTGCAGATAACAACATCCTTCCCTGTGATTGGAGTTCCAGATGCAGGCTGCAAATACAAAAAACTGACAAGCTTAATTAAGTCATCAAGGAGCTATAAAACAGCCGCTGCACCAAAGCTCACAAGAGGAGTCATCTTCACAGGTTCACACACCAAACACAGTAAGTCCCACCCGAAGGTGCGGTCTGAGGATGAGATGTAGGCAAACCTCCCCTCTACCTCGAAGAGTAGAGCGGTTGTTTCCATGAAAACCCACACTAGGGGAAAGTGTTATATAAGAACTTGAAAGTGCTAAAATTTGGATTCGATTTTTAAGTAAAAGACGGACAATCAAAATAGGCAGACAAACATAGAAACAAGAAAACATAAACATGAATTCTTATAAACAGAACCAATCCATAGAAACCTAATATTATGTCCCAGAGTAAGGTCTGGACGGTAAGATGTTCATAGACCTTATGAGGATGTTTGGTTGGTTTTTCGTTAAGTTCTGTATGGATAAAACCGTCTGTGTGGATTAATCTGTCTATATAGATTGGAAAGATTTTTGTTTCATAGATGGAAGAAACTTGTTTTTTAACGGGAGGGACAAGTTTGGAAAAAAGTTGGCTTTCTGCATCTGGAAGCTTACTGAATAAGCCATTTTCTATTATCATAAGCTACTAGCAAACAGTCATCTATAGCTGTAAGTCTCAATAAGCTGCTATTGAACATGTCCCAAGTCTCAAGGGACAATGAGGCACCCCATTAATGAAAATAAAAAACGGAGGGGGTGACAAAGAAAAGCAATAACACCTTCTTGTTTTCAGCAATAACACCGAATATGAAAGACAAAACACCAAGGCTTCCCACAATCAAAGACATTTGCTTGGTAGTGACCGCCATTGAGACTTAAAGATTCTTTTCCCTGCACGTTGAAATCAAATAATGAATTAAAACAAGACGTATCCCAAACAAATACAGTAAATCTCACACGGAATACAGTAGAGGGAGCAATGAAGCCCAAATCAATAACTAGAACTAGAAGCAGCATTCCTCCAATAACAGAATACATACAATTGCTTGAAGATCCTAGGAATTCATGATTGAGTTATGTAATAAACATAAAAAATCAAATAAAGCCATTTTTTGGGAACAGGTGATCCCAGGCGTGACCGTAGGCTTCGTGCAAACGCACATGTAGATAGCAGGATTCGATTTCAAATTCTTGTGGTTAAAATCAAATAAAGTTGGGAGTAACAATTTGCACTAGAATTTTAAATATACAAGCGTTTCAGAGAGATTCTGGGTGATCATATGATGACCCTTTCTTTACTCGTACCAATTTCAACCCACACCACAATCGAGATCTGTACACACTTGTTTTTCAGAAACAACGCATAATGATGGTCAAGGTCAAACACTCAACAGATATGCATATCATGTGATTTTTAGTTCAAAATCATATTCTCCTTTGTCCATTACATAATAATACATATGCATATACTATTACTAAGAATCAATAATATTCATAAAAGATAAAGAAAATCAAAGATGCCAAATTTCATTAATTAGAACTTCCAAAATCAAAACTCAAAAGATGCATTCTGATCCTAGAGAGTAATATCCCAATTCATAACCTGAAACCCCTAATTGTATCACTTAAAATTCATCATCACAATAAAACCAGACTCAAAGATCCATCGCTTACCAGAGTCAGATCAGATTGTGAATTGATCGCCAACAAGCAGACAAACGATTAAGAATGAAGAAATTGCATTCAGATACCAAGAATCTCCAATTTCAGTAAATTGAGGATACCTACCTCTACCTCTACCTCTGAAGATAAGGAAAGGAATCTCGAGGTGGGAGGAAGATAACGGACAATCTCAATGGAATCAAGTAATTGGGATGATCTATAGTCAACGAATTAAAAGGAAAATACAAATTGCCATAGAAAAAGGATCGGGATTGGGATTGGGATTGGGATTGAACCACTATTCTGGGTATGTACAAAAGGGAGTCTATCTTTGACTACGTCACCATATAGAAATATCTTGCTTTCTTTGAAATGTTACATACAATACCAATCCTTATATAATAATGTAAACCTACTTTTACTCCCTATTTTATCAAATTGTTTATTTCACTCAAGTTTTTGTTACATATTTTGATTAAAATAAGAAGAAATTCATATATTAACACCTTTTATTTTATATCGTCATAACAAACACAACATTTTTTCTATAAATTTTTTTTATTATATATATTATAACAAAATATTTCTTTATCTCTCTAAAATATATACATTTAGTCATGGTGAATTCTATTTATACCTCCTTCTCATTCTCCTTCTATAGGAGTACATGAGTGGAGAGTAAGAACTAAAAAAAACTAACATATTATAACTATATTATGTGGTATAAATAGCAACTCCCTCTTATTATTAATCAAAACAATATTTCTAAATTACATGTCAAACATATATATATATATATATTTAAAACACATTTAGAGAGTTTGTTTCTGAAAATACAATTGACATGTATAAGTTTTGACAATTTTTTTTGTTAAGGTATACAACTAAGGGGCCGTTTATCAAACGCTTAATCGGGTAAGTCATATTTTTTAACCGGATGAATATGACAATGACCAAGAATCTTACCCGGTAAGAACGAGACAAGAACCAAAAGTCTTACCCGATAAGTGAGAGCGACGACTCTTACGACGGTAAGCGATTACCGGATAAATTGTTGCATACGATGTCATTTTGGTGAACTAAAATCTTACTCGATAAGTAATTAAATAATAATATTAAATTTATAGGGTAAGTATTTGATACAACCCCTAAAAAAACATAAAAGTTGAAGGACTAGTTTGGTAATGAAATAGTTAATTTACTTTAATTAACACATAAAATAAATATCATTTCCCAATTTTTCAGCTTTTTATTGTTATCAATTGGAATTGGAATTGGAATTGGAATTGGATGTGTGATTGATTTAAACCGTTTAAGTTGCCCATCTTAGAATAAAGTAAACTGCATATCAATTCCATAATATGTTTCTATATATTTTCAAAAAATAATATTTTTTATATTTAAATAA